CTCCTTGTCATAAACATGTTTGAATGAAGAGATATAGCCTTCTAGACTACAAGATAATTTGAATAAAATGCAGCCAGTTTAGAAAGATACAAATGTGACCTACTTTCAAGAACTGGAAAAGAAGTACTAGCTCAGTCAACCGTATCAAAACCTATTTCTGGGGCTTCCAAGCAAGAAAGGATGGACCTGAATCTTCGTACAATAGTTGCTTAATCAGGCAAACCACGGACTATTGGAGAAAATTTAATTTTACCGGCAATAAAAGAAGTAATAACTTCTGTGCTCCATCAACCAGCGGCAGACACTATTATTCGAAAAATTGCTTTGAGCAATAGTTCTGTATAAAGACGAATTGATACTGAACATACGCTGAGTCACTATGAAAAATATTGAAGAGTCATTGTGCAATCGTCTGAAAACTAGTCAATTCTCGATTCAGTTGGATGAGTCCACTTTACCTACTAATGAAGGACAATTGTTGCCGTACGTGAGGCTTATTAAAGATTGGAAAATATTTCAAGAACTATTATTTGCTAGAAATTTAGAGACAGATGCAAAGGAAAACCCATATTTAATACGCTGGAAAAGGTTTGTAATGAAAAATAAATTCCCTTGAATATTATATGAAGTGCTATGGATGGCGCTCTGGCTATGACAGGGCGTCACAATGGCTTCATAGCGTTCTTAAACTAGTGCTGCTACAGCAGTACATACTTTCTCGCCCTTTAGTAACAGTTATTAATACTATTGTACAGCAATTCCTTTTTGCAATTTTCGAAAAATAAGAGCAGTACTCGAAAATGAGACCAGCGCCACATTTCTTACCGTTTCAAAGTACATATATGGAGAAAATTTACAGAAACAATGTGGAGTGTTTTTTTTTGCTAATTACAGTTGAAAAATACGCAAAAACTGATTCCTGCGAAACTTTTACATGACCTTTTTTGAAGAACGTAGTTTGTACAATAGAATTGGTCTTAGGCAAAAGTCTCTTATTACAAAAGTGAAGAAAATTTTTTAAAAATATTGTGAGTGGATTTTGAGACTTTTTGTAAATTTAAATCGCAAAATACTAAAAAAATTCTCAGTTTTTCGAAAATTTGTACGTAACATTTTCTGAAGAGCTATCTATACAAAAGACTTTGCCCAAAGACAAAAATTTGTATCTGCAATTTTTAATTTTTTTCCAATTTAAAAAAAATTGAGGATGCCAACGAAAATGAGATCTGCACTATTCTTTTAAACGTCTTTTGCACTATTCAACAACAAAATTTAATCAAAAAATTTGGAGCCATTTGTTTGAAAATTTTGACAATGTCCCAGAGGCTTCATGTGAAATACTCTCCAAAATAAAAATTTCAGCTTCAAATTCCAGGGTCCGCGACATCGGTTAGAACGATAGCGGAATATATTTTTTTTTAGAAAATCGACTTAAATATTTATGCCCTAGCGTTGTGCACAGACGGACGGAGACAAACTTTTTTCGTCAATCGAGTTTTGGTAGGAAGGACCCACTAAACATGGGTTCAGGCTACACCACGTGTTGGAGGATTTTTTTTCTATATTTAGCAACTGATTTTATTAACTTTTTCCTCACCAGGGCCCAGCAATAAGAGATTTTGTGTCTAAAATTCGTTTTCCGCGCACGATAACAATGCTTTCTCTTCTTACGTTAGTAAGTGCAAGTATTGCAGCTTTGCTGGCTATACATTGCGTCATTTGTCGACAACATGTGGTTGAAAAAAAAATTAACTGAACCTCGCATTTAGGTGAATCTATCGTCTTAATTACGTGAACGTGGATTTAGAGCTGTGGCAACGTTGCTAACTAAAGATGAATCGTTTGCATGTCACCGAACGCTGTGACGTGAGTCTGTTATTGAGTAAATTCAAACCTACCATAGTAACAAACTTGTTAAAAATCGTCAGATTTAAATTTTAAAATTTAAATTTAAATGCTCATTTTAATTTGAGTAAAGGTTTTTTAAATAATATAAAGTCTCGTTTTAATTACACCCATTAGTTAAAAAGTCTCATTTAAAATGTAATTTTAACTCAAAAAGAGGGTAAACACTCAAATGGCTTGCTGTCATAAAAATAAAGTAGTGTTTACGGTTTTGATTTTTAAAATATGATTAAGTTAATAATTGAGGGGCTGTAGAAAATTATGGATTCTCAAAGTGGGTGGTAGACAAAATAAGTTTGAGAACCTCTGGTGTAAAGTAATACTGACTCAAAATCTTAAGAATGGAGGGTGGGTAATGTAAACATTAACTGCAGGACTGCCCACACTAACCCCGTAGTACTGAACAACATTTTTTTCAGCCGCTCGGCCAGCCGGTCGTCCTGCCGTCCTGTCTGTTGTCGCAATCCTAGTTATTGTGTTAGCAGTTTTAATTTCGTCCAAAGCAATAGAACTACAAAACGACTGAATGGCGCGCCAGAAGCAGAGTGTGTTGTTGAATTTATCACTTTCGGGAAAATTGCACGTAATCATAGCCACTGATGCTTGCTGAACTTTTAAGAAGAACGTACAATGGATGTCGGTGCAGTGCGGGGACAATGGGTAGTGCATTTCAGTGATGGTGACAGCGACGCGAAAGACAAACCACTCGATGAGGAGCGCCTGATCCGCGCGAATCGGCGCATCGCGGCCAGGGAACTTTCTACGTCGCTGAAAATTGGCTGCAATGCATTAGAGGGAATGTTGAGTCAATTGAGTTACCGAAAATTGTGCGCATGGTGGGTCCCGCGATCACTTACACAGGAACACAAACGGCACCGAATCGAAGGTTGTGAGGAACTTCGACTCAATACGAAACTGAAGGTGGCGGTTTTCTGGACCGAATAATCACTGACGACGAGACATGGTGTCACTATTATGAGCAGGAAACAAAACGACAATCCATAGAATGACGCCATAAGAATTCCCCGTCCTGGTCACTTCAGCTGGTACACATTTTTACGTGCTTGGCATGCGGGATTTTGTTCATCGCATAAGAAAATTCGTAGAAAAAGGGACTTTTGAAAAATAGTGTTGTGTTCAAAAAGTTTTCTAACACAGTGTATTAATATTGTATTGTTTATTTACAAAGTCATCATACAAATAAATGGAAGGCATTACTTTCGAAACCACCCTCATCTTTATTATACCGATTCTTTTATTTGATTTATTTGGTCAAAGAACCGTAACATCTGTATGCGGCGTATGAGTGAGAAGCATAATTTCAATTTTGTGCTCTTTTATCTTAAAAGAACGAGAGTTATAAAAGGAGCAAAATCCGGGACTACTTTTAACTGCGAAACGATGAACCCTGACGAATATGCACTTCTGTTGTACGACCACTACGCAACTTATTTAACTTGTGCGTGTTTATCTTGGGAGATGCCGAGTTGGAGGGGCTCTCCTAAGTCCACAGGCCGCTAGCGGAGTTACTTTCTCTGGGAATTCACCCGAAACTACTGTTCTGATCTCCGTTGTGTGCCTATAGAAGTTAAATTTGTTGCTGGCAATTGTGCTTTGCTGCAACATTGACCAAGTTTGTTTGCCGCTGTTCATGCGCGACAATTAAATTTCCTTGTTGTTATCGCGTGTTTATTCACACGATTCACTTCACTTGATGAAAGGCGAAAATTGTTCTGTAAACAGCAATGACCACGATTGAATTATCATTGTTGATAGAAAATTTAAGGTTTTATTTTTATCAAGGGAGCGTGATCATCATTTTCATATGAAAGCATAGTATTTCATGTAAAATTCACTAAATTGGAAGAAACCGTGGTGAAACATTCAGGGTTATTTGAAGTGAAGAGATAGAGAAATGCAGTTATATACCCAGATGTCACGTCACGTTTGGCCACAAAGTTTATGCCCAATCTGTTTTTTTTAAATACGTTAATCTTAAGAACAAAAGGAGACAACGAATGTGAAAAAAGATGAAAATAAAGTTTTCAACAGCAGCTGTAGTAGAAAAACAATAAATGTGTTTCTTTCTTTACAACATTTCGGTCTTTTAAATAAAAATCAGGAATGTTAAGTATTAAGATAAGCTTATACAATATTACAAATATTGGAAACGCAAAATTATGAATTACATGAAATTCGAATGTTTCATTATCTTAATTTTCATTTTTCAAATTTTTCATTATCTTATTTTTGATGAATGGAACCTTAACCAGAATATAAAGGGAATGTCCAAATAAAGAAATTGCAATATAGACGTAAGTATTTTATTAATGTAATGTTTTCCAATATCGTAAAATATTTTTTAAAAAATACATGGTCATATACCGTATGCACAAATAGCTAATTATAAATTCAATCATGAACATGATATTCTTGTGAATAAGTATTAGTGTTGCTACAATATCATTTTTCATCTTTATTTTCATCATATAATCTTCATTATTGTTTTTAGTTATCATATGTACCCTCACTACTATATTGTTACTAATGACTCAAAACCCTAAATATTATCGTTAAATGCCAGAATATGTTATCTTCTAAATGCTGCAATGGGTAACTCGACATTTTTACAGTTGAGTTATCAATTGAAATTAGTTTTGTTGATTACACTGTTATTTACGTGATGTTACATAAACTTGCCTTCATAAAAGGGAAATTTTGTTTGCATTTGTATCTGTTTCAAAAAACTGCTTTACTACCACTACAGAAAAAACTCTTAGATGCTTTTAAATGTTTAAAAGCGCAAACTCTCTGTTTAACTTTTCTGGGCTTCTCGAACTTATTTAATTACCATGATTCTCAACCTTTAGAGTCTAAAGGTATAATTTTTAGACTCTTGTATGTGTAGACTCCGTTGGTTCTCAGTTTGATAGAATATTTAAATGCCCTATGCTATCACATCAAATTGCTTTAGAAGGAATCTGAACGCGTTATGGCTAACTATAAATACCTTTAATAATCGGGCTCATGAAATGAAAATACAGTTTTTCGTTAGAAATGAAAGTTCACTAAAACTCACTTCAGTAATTCAAGCGATGAAGACTGCTTGGACAACGCTTAAGACACTCGATCAATCCATCTTGAATTTGTCGTGGGCCAAGCGAGTTCTAGATCGTTTTCCTTGGGGTTCTGCTTTTTACCTGTCTCTTATTCCACCTTTGATATCACCATTCAAGCAGTCTTCTGCTATTAGATCACTCACGGATGTCAGTAAGTGTAAATGCCCCTAAAACTCGAATATGTTAATAAATTGAAGTGATGGTTGTCTACTAATAAGTGAACTAGAAGTGTTGCTTGAAGTGTTGCTAGAATATTTAAGATTTCTGATATTTCTGTTATTGTTTCTTATTTATTAGTAAATAGTACTTTCATTTTGTAAGACATATTTGCAATTCCCAAGTAATTATGGGGAAATAATAGTGAATTTGATTTTAGACATTTTTTCTACGTTTCTGTATTTTTATTTGCTAAAAGAAACATTAGAGATATTTAACCTTTGAATAATGCTATTAATTCATAGTAGAACTATTTCAAAGATATTGTAATAAGAATAAATATAAGAGTAAATGTGTGAATCATCATGTTTACCAGCACCATTATCTTCGTCACCAAGAATGTGATTGTAATCTTGTTCCTAGACGAACTTCATTTCATCCGTTAATTAACTTTGTTACTTAACCCTGTCTCTTCACACTGACTGCTTTTCACAAGCAATGCAACCTGGGCAGGCGATAAGGTATTATTTTCAATCATAAAGTTTTATCAGGTGCGTCCTTTACACATGCTGTTCTTATATATGTCGGATATATGCGGCCTAGGTTGGACTGCTTTATATTCCGTGCAAAGTAGAGCGTGCGAGTTAATGTCTTTCTGCCCATGCAAATTAATATTATAACTTCGATCTGATTTGAACCAACGAACATTAGAATAAGGGACTACGATAATCGTTTCATCAACGCATGAATATTTCATTGTATATGTTTCATTGTATATGTCGTTTCATCAACGCATGAATATTTCATTGTATATGTTATTTCCAATGGAGAGATACCTTTTTCAGCTCAATGATTCAAGAAAAATATGACTTAAGTTTAAAGGTTATAATGAAAGGTATGGAATTCGCGTGAACTTAAGTTACAGATCGCTTGTATTTAGTGGTTAATGATGGAAATAATAATGTAAGAAGTAGGTTGCGGGTCGCTAACTTTAGTTTAGTGACAACAGAAATGTTGATTGATTGATTACTGATATCGGGCGCGTCAAGTGCTTAGGTCATTAGGCCCGTAAGTGTAGTGCACACTTTTATCGCGAGAGGTAGTGGTGATGTTCCATCGCATTATGGTGAGTTCCGGCGTAGACCTACATGTCGGGTAGTGGGGTTTTCCCCATCAGGTTTCTCCCACCAGCGGGACAATATCTAAGCTCCCGACGGGTCTCCCGGCATGTGCGGTAGTGGAGGAATGAACATAGAATTATTACTCTAAAACTTTAATTTTTTAAAGAATGTAATTGTGATGAGAAATTCCAGTATTTTACGGATTTAGTTTTAAAAAAATGCAATACTACATAGATCTTAAAACTCTATTACATATTTCAAATAAGAAAAATTACAAGTGAGCGTATATTATAATATGGACAGGTAGAAATGTAGATGAGTGTAGATGAAAAAACAACATAAAAAGTACATTATATGAATTTCTCACTCATCTGAAACGCGAACAACTATCTATAGGTTCAGATGAAAGATGCCATAATTTTTTTCTGCCAGCAGAGTTCTTCCCTGTTCCTAGTTTGCGTGATTTATTCAATAAGGTGATTGATGGCATGCGAAGCTATTTTTGAGTGTTTGTTCGTGGCGCGAAGCCAAGAGCGGGTGCGAAGCGGGTCGCAAAGTGCCGGATTAGCATCTTCAAGATGAAGCTGTAAACATTAAGAACAATTTTTCAGTAAAAAATCAATGCGCCAAAACGTACACTTTTTTGGAAGCAGAGTAAGGAAAACAATCGAATACTATTATGTGACACTTAATTTACTATCTATTTCTTAATAAAAAAAATTTTTCGCGATTTAAATCACTGAATTATGCAGTGAATGAAACTTTCTAGTGAGTATAGATGTACGTAACGTCGCTTTCCATAGCGATGGTGGGTACAAATCTCGTGAAATTCTTTTTCGACAGCAATATAAACGTGAAAGCACAATAGTAAAAAAATATAATTTCATTATCGGTCTGGAATTTCATGTATCGGTTCTGATACTTTTTGTTTTTTGCTTTCTTAGTATCAATTGCTTTCTGATTTTAAGAAAGACTATATTTAAGCCGGTGTATTTTAATATAATCTAAATTCAGTTTTGGGGGTAGGTAGTTCCAATTCATGCTCTCAGAAATGAGTAACTTTTTATTTGGTGCTTAGGAAAAGTGATTTGTTAACTGAAAACCCTTCGTTATTTGTAACTCTTGAAATGGCGTGGTGTGCTGCATGGAGGTTGCCGCAACAAGGCGAGCTTGCATGGTATGACTGTCTCAGCGACAACAAATCATCGATGTTCCCAAAATCATTGATATTCAGAATTAAAAAATCTACCAACATCCATGATTTAAAGCCGCTTTAGTAATTTCTAGCATTAAATTCATGCGCAACAAAATGTAATTTGACAGTGGCCGTCCATTTTAATTTATAATTAAAATGTAACAGAAAACTAAGTTAAAACGCGCCTCATGTGCGAAATACGAGGTCAAATGAACGACATGCCCGGGTTTTTGGATCATTCCGGGCGAGGCATAGTCTATTCGAATAAGATTGTTTAAACCCCATTCGTGTGGTTCGAACACATTAATAAAGAGTGGTTCACTTAAACAGATAGACCAGATATTTCATATTTTAACTTTAACAGAATTGTGATTATTAACATATTTGATCCACGAACGAACTTCGTAAATGTAGAAACATCAAACACACAACAAAAATATTAAAAGACATCGGCGTCAGTACATCGATGTTTAATCATCTATATTTTTATAGAAATGTCGGTGTTCAGACTGGCAAACACAAGATGAGCTGCGTAACAATTTGGATGAAAATATCTCATGATCAACTTCTTTGTAAGAGATTTCCCACCACATGTTCATTGACAAAATGTGATGTTATTTCTACAGACCCTAAATGTTTGTAATATTTATTGTTAAACATTCGTTTTTACACCCATTCAATTGGATTTTGTCTAACTTTCTCCTACCTAGTTCCGGATTCGGCCGAACCATTTTCGATGGGGTTTTCAATGAACGGTAGAAACGTTTTGTCGAGTGAACTTGTGGATATATTTTTCAGGGCATTATTTTCTCCTATTTAAAGAAGGATGTTTGTTTACACATACAAATCATAGTTTTATCTTGTCTTAAAGACATTTTGTACGTTTGACCTCCAAAAGAAGAGAAACTTTATGCTAACATCCTTTTCTGCATTCCTACTCCTACACCTTTTCCCCGCACCTTGAAGCATAGTTTAAGTGTGCATTTAGTTTAGTTTTCTAGGAAAATTTCTCTAAAAAAGGTGAGGAAATCCAGTAGAGTGGATGAGAATTATCTTAAAATCCGTACTACTTGTCTGAGGAGTGGACTCAGTCTTTCCAATGGAGAAATTAGACTCTCAGTTATTGAAGGTCAAACGTGAAACTCGGATGAAGAGGAGGATGAAAGAGGGAGAAGGGGGCTGAATGGAACAGGATTGATTGATGATAATAATAATAATAATAATAATAATAATAATAATAATAATAATAATAACAACAATAATAATAATATGCCTTTATTAATATGGCGAGGCTCGGGCCATCAGGCCCGCTCTTCCACATGTCACAAATATACAGAGTAATGTAGTAAAAGTAATATAGTAATAGTAAAAGTACTAAAAAGGAATGTTATCTAAAAATTTAAATACAATGTAATCTATAGGTGGTTGAAAGTTTGTTTCCGGGCACGTCAACTGCTGTGGTCATTAGTCCCGCCAGTGTAGTGCATGTATTATTGTTGGAGGTGGCAATGTTCCTAACCTGCTGGATGTCGAGTCCCGGCACCGACCTCGCCAGCTTGCTGGGGATTTCCCTCAGCAGGTATCTCTCCTAGCGGGACAAGTTCTAGTTTCCCTATTGGTTTCCCGACACGAGTATAAATGTAGTGCATGTATGTTCGCGTGTAAGGAAGAGATGATTCGAACAAGTACATGAAGAGTATGTGTGCGGTCCGTTTTTAGGGCACTGCTTTAGAATGAGACAGGTATTGATTGGAGAAACTGCGAAAAAGTACCGATCAGAGCACCCCATCGCTAGAGTTTTCATCCAGAGAGCGGCTGACTTCGGCTTAGCCATGAAGCTGGAGTCGAATATTCTCCACCGTCAAGTTTCAATCTGGTATCTCCTGTCGCTCTAGAGATGTTAATAATAAGATGATAGTAATGATGGAGGGGAGAGGACATACGGGACGAAAGTATAATTAATTCTTCTGAATAATAAATTATTGTGAAACAGCTCGGGCATCGCCGGCTCACTATTAGTGTTTGAATAAATATGTTGTGCAGAATTATGTATAATGATGATTAATAGATCTTGATGGACTAAAATGATAAGTAAAATGCTTTTAAGGCAGTCAGATGGCCGAAATCATTAAGACAGTAGTACCGTAGCGGTCTCGGACCAGAATATTCGTGTCCCGCCTCGCGCATGGGTGTATTTGTTTGTATGTGTATGTCGTCCTCTCACCTCTCATAATCATAATCATTTCTCCTTCCTAACCCCCAGGGCTAACAACTCTGGGGCGTAAAAATGGAGTCAGCAGAAATGCTCTTCCCCCTTAGTATTGGTTCGCGTTCATTCTTCCAGGAAAAAACATGAATGAGCCTTGGTGGGTATAACTGCATGTTCGCGTGATCGAGAGCGAGGCCAATTCGCGGCAAGAAATGGTCTTAAAGTTGTTGTTTTTAAATGTCAGAAAAACAGAGAAAAATAACGTAATAAAATTGATCAAAACCATTTCAGATGAACAACTCAAGCTGTTAGAAATGTTAACCGATGACTTCTTTCTTTCGTTCAAGTGAACTCAGCTTGGACACTTTGGACTGTTCTCTTTCAGGAAATATCTTTCTTCAGTTATCCAGAAATCGGAGGATTTGACAATGGCACTGACAGGCGCCACAGGCACCTTAGATTACATATGACGCCTGACAAAGAAATCGAGTAGGCATGTTCAGGAGTTCTGTGGAGAACATTTTGCATCTCGTAAATATTATTTGAAGCATGTACCATTAAAATATTAAAATCGATTAAATCAGCAAAAAATTCTTTAAAAAGACGGAAAAGGGCAAAAAAGACTTATTAAAGAAAATCGAAGAAAAATGCAAAAAGAGGCATATAAAAATTGATTATTTTGTTTTTTCATAACATAAAATTAATGTCTATACTAAATGGTATTACAGTAGAACCCTGCTAATCCAAACCATATAAAACAGAAATTTCGGTTAATCCGAACAAAATTCGGGATGGAGGAAAAATACACAAAAAACACCTGAATTGCATTAATTTAATTTATGAACGAGAAACATGCACAAAGTATAAGCCAACCCAATTCTGAATACAGTACGTAGAATACCCGATAAAAACAGTTACAAACTATGCTTCTGCAATGAAGCAACTAACTACCGCATGCGATCGGTTTTGTACATACTGTTCTCCGTTGTTGGCAACATTGCCACTTCCTCATGTCACTATGATACGTTGCCATTTTATTACATCACACGCTACGATGCATTGTCTGGTAATCCCAGTGAGTAATTTATAAAATTTCGGACCCGAAACACGCCTCAAATTAATGACTAATTTAATAGAAATAGTTGAATATTTACATTATAATTTAATCATTATTCCCAAAGTATCATTACGCCGTTCCGTTGCGCTCCGACAGAAATCATGCCCTGGATAATCCTGTAGATGTATCTGTCGATTAAATCAGCGAAACAGGCTTTATAAAGACGGAAAAGGGCAAAAAAAGACTTCTCAGAAAAAATCGAAGAAAAATGCAAAACCTGCATATAAAAATGGGTATAAAAATAAAGTAAATAAAAAAAGGCATATAAAATTTCCGTACGGTACATTTTTATTCCTGATAATCTTAACATTTCCGAACCCAAACACACCACACCTCCAATTAGTTCGGAATACGGAGGTTCTACTGTATTCGAAAGTGAAAAGAAAAAGACATTTCATTAAAACCCGCTCCCTAATATTTGACGTACGTCGCCACAGTGGTCAGAGCGCGGTTTCATCGAAGTGCGTCCGCTGTTCGGATTTCGAAAACGCGCGCGATTTCTTGCTGTCTTCTCTGAGCGCAACGCGCGCCCGTTCGTGTGCGCAGACGAGGAGGACCTGTTCCTGGTGTCGGACCTGCTGCTGGGCGGCGACCTGCGCTACCACGTGGCGCGCGGCACCGCCTTCGACGCGGACTGCGTGCTGCTGTACGTGTGCGAGCTGGCGGCGGCGCTCGACTTCCTGCAGAAGAAGCGCATCCTGCACAGGTGAACAAAAAAAACATCCCATACGTTGTTTCTGGAGGGTAGACTGTACCTGCACAGGTGTAGTGTATCCTGCACAGGTGAAAAAAATCCCATACGTTGTTTCTGGAGGGTAGACTGTACCTGCACAGGTGTACCTCTAGTGTATCCTGCACATGTGAAAAAATCCCATACGTTGTTTCTGTAGGGTAGACTGTACCTGCACTGTTGTACGTGTAGTGTATCCTGCACAGGTGAAAAAAAAAACCATACGTTGTTTCTGTAGGATAGACTGTACCTGCACAGGTGTACCTCTAGTATATCCTGCACATGTGAAAAAAATCCCATACGTTGTTTCTGTAGGGTAGACTGTACCTGCACAGGTGTACCTCTAGCGTATCCTGCACAGGTGAAAACAACAATAAGTTATTTCTGTAGGGTAGACTGTACCTGCACAGATGTACCTGTAGTATATCCTGCACAGGTGAAAAAAATCCCATACGTTGTTTCTGGAGGGTAGACTGTACCTGCACAGGGGTACCTGTAGTGTATCCTGCACATGTGAAAAAAATCCCATACGTTGTTTCTGTAGGGTAGACTGTATCTGCACTGTTGTACGTGTCGTGTATCCTGCACAGGTGAAAAAAAAACCATACGTTGTTTCTGGTGGGTAGACTGTACCTGCACAGATGTACCTGTAGTGTATCCTGCGCAGGTGAATATACCATACATTATTTCTGTAGGGTAGATTGGACGTGCAAAGGTGAACCTGTAGTGTATCCACAGGTGAAAATCCCATACGTTGTTTCTGTAGGGTAGACTCCCGCCCGGCTCTCTCACACGAGAACAATCCTAAGCAATGAGCCAGGAAAGAAAACGAAGGGCAGGGAGATGGAGGGGAGAGTGGGAGAGGGGAGATATTCAGAGAGGGTTGGACGGAGGAGATGGAGGTAGAGGAACAAGGAGAGAACGGGACAAAATCAGGGGTAGAATGAGAAGGAAATGGAGGTACAGGAAGGGAGGGAGCGGGAAAGAAACAGGGGAGAATGAGGAGATGGAGGTAGAGGAACAGGGACAGAACGGGACAGGATAGAATCAAAGGGACAGGGGCAGAGCGAAAGAGAGAGAGAGAGAGAGAGAGAGAGAGAGGGTATGGGAGAGATAGGTCAAGGTGGGGGAGAGGGAAGGAGAGTTTGTCGCGAATTCATGATGCATTGCATGCATATTTAATGACAAAAATTATATTTGTTGGGAAAATTGCAACCTAAGTAGAAAACCTAAGTAGAAAAGTTTTTGTGGTTGTGAGGGAAAGGAGGAAGTGTTTGGTCCGTTTCTGATAATAAAAATACCTTGAGCAAAAAAATATCCTTTACACGCACAAAAATAATCGTTCCATTAGCACGAGTTGTCACTTTACATTTTCACAACGAACGTGGAAAAATTATATGAACTAACTTTCAAACACAGGTTTCATGAAACTTCATGAAACATTTACTCCCACAAAACCGAACAGTTCTGAGAATAAATACAACATGCAATTCCTCATCAAGTGAGGGGTTTACGTCTACTAGTAAATGAAATAATTAATATAAATGTAAAGGGAGACAGTACATTCGCTCTTTCTGATGATACTAAGGCCACTTCCAGAAAATCTAGCATTAAATGCTTTGAAGCATGATTATTTTCTTTTGCTTCAGACGGCTATTTTTGAAGAAGAAAAGTGACAGACGCGATCACCTGAATTTCCATTGACTCAGTGACACTTGCTGTACATCGCCTTCAAAGACTACTTAAACTGCTGGTGTACGTGAATGTTTCAAATGCAAGTACTAGTTCCGTTCCGGAAATACGCCAGCTTTGGGAGTTCGTTATGAAATCCTAAACGCTTTGGGCTTGCCGTTGTCATTTTGGCGACTAGAGAGGCTAGTTCGATAGTAATTTTACGATGGAACTTTTGCTCAAATTTAGATAAATCCAAAGGTGAAAAGTTTTCGCAACACGTTTTCTCAAACTCCTTCTCTTTCAACTTCCTGCCGTTCCACTATTTCCCCGTTATCCTTCGTATCAAAATACTAATACATCCTCATCCACATAATAACCCTATCTAATTTAGGCCTCATTTTCAGATAGAGGAACAATCAAACATTACAGTTCCCGTTTTAGAGAATAAACCTCAAGTCTCCCTGAAATGTATTTGAGAGGTCTGACAGTAAGATTGAGGGGATACAAGGTGAATCCAGAATTGCCGGGTCCGAGGGAGTGTTGCCAATGTTTCCTCTGCCATATTGTACCGCGTTTATATTTATATTCTTAGGGTTGATATTTATTTTTGCAATATTTGCCCCACAGCAAGAATGTACTATGTAAAAAATTAATGATCAAGCAATTATAATGAGCATAGTTACTAGCTTCTTTATTTTTTTTAATTAAGAAATAAAAAATGCTTTAATTCTCAAAATGTCGCATTGAACCGTAAATTTTTTAACAGCATTGTCAGTTGTGAATTATACTTTTGCGTTTGATAAAATGTAAAAAAATGCATTATGTAAAATAATAATGCCAAATGTACGCTTTCCGCCTACATTCAAGACAGTCGTACCGAGTTCTTCTGTATTGAGAATACGATGGGGTAAAAGAAGACTTCGTGTACGAGTAAAACAGTTTACAAATGTGTGCTCGATTTTCAGTTGACGAGAACAGATCCGACTCGCGCCAACACCATTGTAGAACAGGAGACGAGCGCAGTGACCGAAGTGAAGCGTTACAGCGTTTACAAATTGAATCTGTTACTGTTCGTAGTGCTTCAAATAGAAATGCTCTCTTTTACATATGCTGAATATGCATGTACAGAATAGTGCCCCACGATTTATATCACGACTATCTCACTTCATGTTAACGACTGCCAAAAATAATAAGACTTTTTCGTGGTGAACATTCAGATATCTCCAATTTTGCGATTAAAAAGAAAATTCTTTCCATTAATTTCTACTAACATTTATCACTCTCTCAGCTTCTCTCTCTCTCTCTCTCTCTCTCTCTCTCTCACACACACACACACACACACACATACACGCAATTATTATCACTATCTTAACAATGTGTACACATTTCTATTGACAGAACCTTGTTGTCAGTTTCATTAACAGTTAACTTTTTTGTAACTAGGTATATGCGGAGTTCAGAATAAAGATAAAATGGAGAGCTCTGATTATGCAATAAAATTAGAATAAGGGCGTTTGACGGAAATACTCATTTTTGGGTGACCTTATTTTAGAAAAGAGGTTTGAAAAAAAGTGTCTGTCAGTTTGTGTTCTCATTTTTTCTTTCAAAATCGGTGCTTTCCGATTGAGAAAAGATCAAATGAAGTAATTAAGACAGAATAGTAAAAGACTAATCAAATGTAGATGATATTGTTTTGGTGGAAAGATCAAACAGAAATTTATGAGAAAATTATTAAGAGTTGGAAGAAGGAGCAGCAGCAAACAAAGATAAGACCAAATACATAATGTGCATATAAAATAAAAAAAGGATGAAAAACAATTACACAGCCTGCTATACAGAGTATAATTTTGAAAGGGTGGACACGTTTAAAAATATAGGTTCCATCATAATCATCATTATCATCATCATCATCAACAACAACAACAACAACAAACTAAAAGAAGGATAGAAACTGAGGAACAAATGCTATTATTGGGGACTACCGATGCTGAAGAGTAAATCACTCTCATGGGAAAAACAAAAATATCTATAACACAGTTATAAGGCTACTGGTAACATACGCATCAGAAACATGGACCGTAAATGCAGGGGAAATCATTATTTGGAGAATATGGAAAAGCAAGAAACCAAAAACGTATTTGGCCCAAAAACGAGGATGATAAATGGAAAATTAGAAATACTCATAATATGGACGTACAACTTTATAATACACCAAATATTATAATAGATATAAAATAGAGTAAGATGGTTAGGTGTCAAAACAGACACATTTTGAGATGAAGGATGCTGAAGAGGTAGTCAAACAGACATTTAAAGGAAAACTAGGTGGAAGAAGGAAGGTGAGAAGACCATGGGTGCGATGGTTAGAGGGTCTAAGAGAACTGGATGTAAGATGATACTAGATAGAAAGAGTGGAGGGCAGTGCAGAATAGGAGAATATTGTGCGAGACGGTGTGGACGGTTAATGGACCGTAGAGAGGCCAAAGGAAGAAGAAGGTATGGTGTGAACTACAATTACGTAATCTGCATGTTTTACAGCGAGCAGAATTGCGAATAGTACTTCCACGAAAGAATTACAAAAGTAATATTTGATTTAAAGATCAATACCGTAGTTCTGTTAGGTCATGATCTAGTAGGAAAAAAGACGTGTAGATGAGTAATGGAAAGACTTTTCCTCGTTCCACACTCCAGGCCTTTCCACCAACACTCGCCATCTCTCGTGGAGTCTTTCACTGCTAGCACAACACTTGTGGGCAATGGTTCGTGGCAGTTTCCGTCCGCTTGGAGCCGCATTTGCTCGTTTGCCCCAATCTCCATCTCTGCCGCGCCGCAGAATTGCGCCGCTTCTCCGAGTGGATGAGCCAT